GTCTACAAAGCAATGGCGTGAGGATACTGCATTTGTGTGCAGCGTCATACCACACTTGGAACTTATCAAAACTTTCAAAGTTATTGACAGCTGCAAATTTTCTCGTGATGCATGGATATCTTTAACGACATCGTCTTTTACTAACATGTACCATGCAGAATAGATCTAAGCGTGCAGCGAGAGTGTTTACGAAACCAAATATATGGCACCTGCAGTATTACAATCTGTGGAAGGAAAATGTGAAGCTAGGTAAAAAGGCATGGGAATCACAGAATATAAGGATGGAACAGGTACTAACTAATAGGTAGCATAAAGCAGTATGAGATTTAGTTTTGCAAACGATGAAAATGAAGAGCAAATAGAAATCACCCATACGTTGACACCACCTATTTTAAGTAGCAGGTCTGCTGTAATGTGGCCTAATTATTTGAAACCATGATGAAAATATGTGTACGGTACATTGGCATCAATTGGCTTGACATGAATAACATGTGCAGTAGAAGAACAATGATTTGAGATTGCTTAAATCATAAGGAGGTGGTGAGCCAAAATTTCACAGTACATGTGAGGATCATTCAGTTTGTGTGGTACAAGACTTCACATGTGTATTTCAGATAATTAGCCCCAACATAATATGTTGCAGATAGAGGTGAAGACTCAAGAGCATACCCAGTTTTGTCCCAACAAGGATTATGGGCATGCCAGGAGCATAGTGCCTTAATTGAGGAACCCACTGGGGGAAAAAAAACAAGACGCACAGGTGATATCCAAGAAACGCAAGTGAAGAAGCTGAAAAAAATAAGAATGCATTAAATGAGGAAGCAAGGAAAGTGAGCAGGGCAATATTATTGCCTTCTTAGAGATATTGTCGTACCTTGCTTTACCGATAAGAGAAAAGGCTAGCAGAAAAACATCAGCACCACAAAAGCTCAACGGGCGCAGCGTGCTGTAATCTTGTTGTCCTGTATAATTCATAGAATGTCAGTTACAGTATTTTGGAGCGGGAAGGAGTGCATATACAAAGAATGATGTTAATGCCAAGGGAAGAGACATGCTGTATCCCGCAGACCCAAGTTGACAGTGCTCCCATCGACCACAACATTGGCACTGAAGTTGTTGAACACAGTTGGAACATAGTCCTGTAACATTGAGATGTGACTTGTAGGCATAAGCAACTGCATAATTATTGTTTCACTCCAGTTAGGTAAAAAAAAAAAGATCATCATGGTCAACATGAATCATTTTGTGAGACCTAGCTGGTGCTGGACTAAAAGAATTAAATATTATTGTTTGAGCATGAGTACTTTGGCTACCAGTTTCGAAGTCGTCGTACCGTTTTTTTAGTATCATAAGTCTTATGGAACTCTATAAATAAGCACATCAAATTTAGTTAAAAGCACCAAAACATAGGAAAATAATAAAGAATTCAATGTAAAGCATTTTTTTTTTGGCCTTCAGAGTTCTTCAAACCTTAAGGTCGAGTGATCCAGGTAATGATGCTTCACTTGTCCAACCTGCAAAGGTAAATGTACTATCAGATAGAACTATAGAGGAGTGGTGTGCATACTGCATTGAGTAGTCGGAGAACAAACTATTTAGTGTTTGTGCACAAAGTTATATCTTCTTTCTCGGAGCTTCAATACTCTTGTGCATGGTTGCTGAGGTCCTGCATGAAAGCATATATAAGTGGATTCAGTTTATATATCAAAAAAGGGGAAAAAGGAAAAGTGGTCAGTTATGATTATAGAGTGCACAGATAAGAGAGCAGTCAGCATTAGATGAGCAAACGAAATAGATAAATTGATGGAAAAAATGTGGTGGGTAGTGCTATAATAAATCTCTAAGGAAGGCGTGTATATTAGCTATAAAAATTACAGTACCAACTAAATATGTAAGTTGTAGGGTAAGTTGCACATTAGCTATAGAAATTACAGAAGAAACTACTGAAATGGCAAGAGTAGAGCCTGGAACTCATTAATCTGTTTGCATTGGGAATTTTAAAGACTGACAAAATAGATATAGCATCAATTTTGAAAGTAGACTATGTAGATATAGCACTAGCTTTACGTGATCCTAGCTATGTCATCATTTATTATAACAGAAAAAGTTTTAGGAAGCAACCATATCCAGTCTGTAGACAGGTAAGAAGCTTTTTTTGAAGAGGAGATAATTATAGTTCGTACCCATAAAGGACAGCACCAAAAGGATAGAAAAATTCATCTTAACGAACAGAAACAACAGGGTAACAGGCTCATGAAGAACGGCACAGCAGCATAAAAAATTTCGTTGTAACAACGTATCCTGTTCAGTGCAAATCTAAAGCTCTCAGCAATTTTTTTGGTGCAGTGAGGCGACAAACAAAGGCAACTGAGCATAGGCCGACATATATTTGGCACTAGAGCGTAAAGTATGAAGTAAGGCCATACTGGATAATCTGAAATCATAGACAAAACTGTAGCGTACTAATGGCGGGGAAAAAATAAAGAAGCACAAAAATGTGAAGACGGAATATGTGGCGACGAATGTTACCTCATCTAACTCTTTTTTTTTCACGTTGGTAGACAGCAGCGGATAGCTTGCAATGACCTCATAGTCAACTCCATGTTATGTTTTGAAAAGTCTAGCAGTATATCATAGTAAGCATGAGGAGAAGAAAAATTAGCATTGCTATTAAACAGAATTCGAAGGGGGAGAGGGGTTAGGAATAAAGCTGACCTTAAAGAGTAGAATCATCATTGTTATATGTACCAACAGCAGTTGCCTATTCATGAAGAAAACATGTAAAGTCCAGTAAGAGGTATAGGTAGCAAATCATCATGAAAGGAGAGAAGGTTTAGATATCATGGAGTATTAACTATCATCAACAATTACAAACAAAAGCAGCATACATAATTTTTCATTGTAGGCAAATTAGCTATTAAAAAATCATGGCTGGCAGGCAAAATTAGCTTCTAAAAAATCATGGCTGCCATGTTTGGATAGCACATTCACAGCTGCTTGCAAAATGGATCTAACCACTATATTATTTCATATAAGAACTGAAACCTTGACATCGTTAAGTTGGTAGAGTCTCCAACTTTAGAACAAGAGGCAGCACAGTTGAGGAAAACTTACTGAGTGTTGCATTGGAACCTAGGTACATCGCGAAACAGCTCCAGCGCCGTCAGATCCAGCTGCCAAGCTCCGCCGCCGCCGCAGCCGGCGACGAAGAGGGCAGCCGCCGCCGCACAGTGACCTAGGGTTTCGTCGAGCTGAGGAGCTCAAGCTCCCCAGCAGGAGGAGGAGTTGAGGAACCCGCATGGAGGATAGGGGAGAGGGAGGGGGCCGCCGAGCCCCTCCCGCGCCGGCGCACCACCCACAGGGGCGCTGTCGCCTCGTGCCCGCCGTCGCATCGTGAGGGAAGGGGAGAGAGAGAGGGAGAGAGAGGAATGGGAGGGAAAAACAGAGGTGAGAGGCCGGTGAGGGAGGGAGGAGGAGGAGGAGAGAGAGCGAAGAGAGAGGAGGGGTTGAGAAAAAGAATCTGGAATGAGAAGCTAAAACTGCTGTATATATTTGATTGCCTGGATTCTGATGAGAAGCGGGAGAAGCAGAGGAGAAGCGAGAGAAGCTAACCAGAAATAGGAGAAGTGGCTGCAGGCGAGAATCCGCTTCGAATGATCTGGGCCGTCGAACGCGAGATCGGACGGCCAGGGGAATTTGGAGCGACGTGGATAGGGCTTCTGCGCGAGAAGCTGTCGCAATTTGTAGTGCTAAATAATAATTCTTCTCCACCCTCCACGAAGATACTTACCTCCACTTCTCAGCTTCTCAGCTGGTCAAGGGTCTGAACTGTTTTGTGGTCTAGCTGCTGCTACTAGATTGGCTGCCTCTTCTAGAAGGGCATGGCTACACCTACACCTCATGTGCATAAAACTAGTACCAAGGGTCAGGCTATAGCCATCTTGTTCTGTGTACTAGTGTGTGTGTACCTGGAAGTGTAAAGAACGGTGTGTGTGCGTGTGTGGTACATTGTGAACCAAAATTGGCCTGGATCATGTAAAGAATAATTTTCAAGGATTAATATATGATTTGTGTATTTTTATGTCAATGTGTATCAATTATCTAGCCTGATGTAATTAAGAGAAACTGATGGCTCACTTATCCAAGGTTAGTTATCTACTAAAATGTGGATCGTTACAAACCTGCAGTGAGAAGGAAGTCATAGCTATATGTTATATGACTGTTTCTGATGAATGAACCCTGTGATATTTCTTAGAGAACAACTTTTCTTTATTGTAGGTTGTTTTTGGCTGCCCTGTAAGATATTGTTTAAAAAATAATGTAATTATGTTTGCCTTCTTATATGTTTGCTTGATCCGTTTTCTTTATGTATACTTGTTATGTATGCTTGATCTGTTTTCTATCAAATAGTACACGATGATATACAAAATGGTATTTATGATTGATGTTGTCTACATACAAAACATTAAATGACTCACAGATAGCATGTTGTACAAGTTGTCTGAGTCGTGGATTCCAAGAATTTGCAGACGGCCCCTTTCTCTCAGTTGAACATGCCCTCATTGCATTATACGTTTTTGGAAACCACGCTATATGAAACTCACTACTGAGAATGACCTTATTACTTCCAGTTAAATGGTTATAAGTAACATTAGTTACAGAAGTTATTATTTATGTACATGTAAGAACAAGGCCTGTACAACTGGTTTAGCATAGCTACCATTCGGAAAGTGATTTGTTCCAAAAGAAATTTAGCGTGATGCATCAGGAGCAGATTGATAAATCATGAACGAGAGCACCTCTGAGAATTGAAGGATGGAATTGACCTTGGTGTCCTTGCATTTGCACGAGGCCCTTTCTACAGCTTGAGCTTTAGGTCGGTCATAACATGAAAAGGACCCGTAAAAATAATGCACGTTGAAAAAAAAGGCACCGCTGAATTAAAATCATGGACGTTGTTGTCTGCTATGCTGTAGACTTAAACGAGTGGTGATGACCGTTCACCAAGGGATTTCTTGGCCATCCCATGCGAAGAACTTGCCGTTGTCGCTTTTCTTGACGTTGTCAATGATGGAGAGAAGTTTCTGTACAGAGAACTCTCTCGTGAAGAGCTTACCCTTGGGGACATTTCTCTGAAATGGCCGTGAGAGGTCAGTGTCCACGGTTCCAGGATGTAGCAGGATGCAGGCAATGTTGTCCTTCCTGCCAAACTCCACTGACACTGTCTTGGTCACTGCATGAATGAGGATTGAGCAACAAACTTCAGTAAGCAAATTGTGACAAATAAAATTTCGATAGCACACAAGCGCCAGGTTATTCAAGATAGAATAATGCACAGCACTTCGGATGAGCGTAGATTACTGTGATTACAAGATTAGTGCGCATAGCAGGATTGTTAAAAACTCAGGACAGGTCAATGGAACAGTACATCTTGGTGTCCACTTACACTGATTCAGTGCTGTTTTAGAAGTTCTGTATGCATGCCAGCCTCCCAAAGCATTGTCTCCTATCGAACTGACTCTAGCGCTCATATTTGCAACCAATGCGAATCCTCTCCCAGTCTCAGAGCGACCTCCAACCTTCAGCAATGGCCACATGTGCTGACCAAAAAGGATCAATAGTTCGCAATGACGGACCGGCAAGCAGAGTGTTGATACCACCAGAACATGAAACAGAAAATTGAAGCAACAACCCAGTGAGTTTCACCTTGATCACTAAGATAGGGCCAACTGCATTCACCTCGTATGCCAGCATCAGGGATGACTTCTGAACCTTGCTTAGTGTAGTCTCTGTGACGCAGGGAACTTGGTTTCAGATAAGGTGCTAGAGAACTGATGCTTGCTGAATTTTTTTGAATGCTGTGCTCAAACGTGATAAGAGGCAGAGAATCCACCTGGTTGTATCACGTTGGGGATCGAAAGGATGCCGGTGGAGTTGATCAGCAGGTCCAGAGAACCATGGGTCTCTGTAATTGAGGCCGCAGCTGCCTGCAATGGAAGAATCAGATTTTTCTCATTTTCATACTAAGCTAGTGCAAATAAGTGGAATCAGTTAGCAATGTGGGCAAAATGCGTCAGGTCTTCAGTCACGATGACAAATAGTAGGAATGTTTCATGAGCATTTCCTCTGACTACTCTCTAATTAAAAAAAAAAAATCCATGGCTGCAGCATTGCTGAACAAGGCTGGAAGGCTGTGCGTGTACGCGTACCTCTATGGTGCTCTCGTCGGTGACGTCGAGCGGCAGCACGGTGAGGCGCCCGGGCTCGTTCTCTTCCTTGAGCTTCTGGAGCTCGGCCGCCGAATCCGGCGCGCGGCACGTCGCGACGACGCGGCCTTCACCGCTTCTCCGCAGCAGCTGCCGCACCTGTAACGCGCATCAGAACGCAATCCAGTATGGAGGAAAGTAGGAAACGGAGGGGGCGATGCGGGAGAGAGAGAGAGAGGGATGGGGGGCAGGAGTAGGCGGGGCGGACTCACGAACTCGAGGCCGATGCCCCGGGATGCCCCCTGCACCATGGACACGCCGCCGGCGCACGCGCCGGAGGGCGAGGCAGAGAACGCCCTCGCGGCCACCGCCAGTCTCGCCATCGCTCCCCTTCTCATCGGCGGATCGGATTCGGCCTCCTCCCTTTCACGGATTCACATCGATCTTCATGTAGCGGCTTGGTCGCGATGCAAATTATGCAATGCAACAAAGATTTGGATTGAAAAGGTGGTTGCAGTTGGATGGATTGGGAAGTAATGGTTGCGTCCGTGCTCGTGATCGTGCTCGCCTCGGGAATTTCTCGTGGCTGGATGGCGCTACACGTATTCCTTGCTCTCAGTCTCACACACACGGGAAAAGCGAGCCTCGTCAGGCAGGCCCATAGCAATCGAGCAAGAGTGGGCCTGTGCGCGCATACTAGGCCCACCAGCTACTTTGAGGCCTTGTGAAGCCCAAAAGCTTCTTCGCGCCATTGCTTTGGAAAAGTAGTGTTTATAAAAAGGTCCGGTCAAAAATCAACGCAAAACGTCAAACACCACTTTTATTTTTATTTTTTAAATTCTTTTCGTATAAAATTCTTTAAAATTGTAAACTTTTTGTGACTCAATACTTTTTTCAAAAAATTTATGTTAAAAGCAGAGAAAAACCTATTCGGAGTTAAACCAATTTTATAACTTTATTTTTCACTCAAATAAAACTATGCAGTCAACATGTTTGCAAAAAAAAAAAAACAAATAAATTTATTTATAAAAAAATATATTTTCTCACTTTTAATTTTAAAAACCTAATTAAATCGTAAAAAAATTAGAAAATAATATAAAATCATTTATTTTATTTAGTGTAAACTATTTTTGAGCCCACCAGCGAGCCCATTTATGAGCCCATCAGTGAGCCCACTCTGAAGCCCATGGCCGTCTGGATTTGAGCCACATTTTTTGAGCCCACCGTGGACGTTGTGGAGCCCGCCTGAATCTGGCAAGTAGCCATGCCGCGCCGCCACGTCTGAATCCGATAAGCCGCCACACCCGTTTGGATACGCACGAAGCCGCCTCCACGAGGTAGATCCCAGCCACAATGCCCTAGATCTTGACTAGCACCACCGGATCTGACCGCCATGGGGAGGAGAAGGCCGCCATAGGGAGGGAGAGATTTGACACCCACCTCATTTAATTTGGATCTAGGTCACAAGAAAGCTCATGCTGCACTGCCATGCCTTGTGCCTCAGCCATCCCACCGCGCCCAGTGCCTCGAACGCCCCGCCACGACAAGGTCATGGCTCGTGCCTCGCACAACCTGGCCGGTCATGCCATCATGCTCCATGCCCAGGTCGTATCGCCGCGCGCAGGGGTACAGTGCTCCTGACCTGCCGCCTTCTTGTAGATCTACGCCAGGCACCAACGCTCAGGGACCACCACGTGCGCTTGGGATCCAGCCCTGGCTGCCAGTTGTGTGTGTGAGAAAGAGAGGGTGGGGGTGGTGACCGGTGAGGAAGGATGCCACCGGTGAGAGTCGCACAAAGGTGCAAGTCTGAGAAGGAGAGCGGCGGCCGCAAAAAAGAAAATATACTAGGGTTTCCACTTTCTCATTTACATAGCCTTTGCTATTGTCACCACTATTTAGCATCTTCGTTTTGATTTCCCATGCAAATTAATGACATTGTCATTCCTTCTTGCAAGAGCATCCTCCAGAAGCTCCATTCTTTTGGACTGTAGCAAATCTTCCTGTGCACTTCTGATAACAATTTATCATGTTGGTCAACAAACACTGGCTATCATCTCTACTGTTAGCCGGCTGTTTTTTGTTTCACATAATTTTGAGCTTCTGTTCATTCTTATATATTTTTATGCCTCTGATCCAAATTGTGTTGATGCTCAAAATCAGCACAAGAATCGTCAATGACTAGATTATTTCTTTTTTTATAGAACATATATGACTAGTGTTTTAGCAAACTAGTAAAGAGATATAATTTATTCGATTATGACGAAGATATGTTTGTTTTATGAGTAAGAAGAACAACAAAGGATGATGTTCTAATCTCACTAGAGCTCACGACTGATTTGTAGACAAACTAGCATAGTTACTAATAATCTAGATGTGAATAAGTAGAAAAAAATTAAAAACAACAATAATAAATTTGTTTTGTGTTGATTGTAGGTGGTATTCAATCGGCTATATACCTTTGGTGTTCATGATTACTTGAGTGATTTGGAAGATCAAATCACTCTAATGAAAGAATCCAAACAAATCGGGTGATTGAAGTCCTTCGTTCATTTGGGTGATACAATATTCGAAGTTACACCATTTCTCATTGGGCCAGGATTTGTGTGATAAAAAGTCCAAAATCTCATACACCCTACCGAAACATATGCTTGCGCAAATTACAATACCTCCATCAATTAAATTACACCATATCAGACAATGTAAAATAATTTGTTTATAGCAAATAAAATTAAGGCAGAAGAGAAGTATTAGTTCCTTCCATGCATGCTATTTAGGGAAAAGAAACAGAAAAAGGAAATGAAAGCAAAAAAAAAAAAAAAAAAGGTGCGAGAAAGAAGATTTTTACCCGAGCATATATATAGCGAAACTGAATAAATTGTATTATTGGAACAAAACATATGTAGATGACAAATAATCAAAGGAACAGAATCCAAAATTATTTTATGTATTGCAAACTAACAGGATTACTTGGCCTTCAATTAACCAAACATGTCAAATAGGAAAATGACAAAACATACAACAAAAACAAAAAAAAGTTTAGTTTTTTTTTGTGTGTGTGTGATTGGTGGCACTATACTTCAAATTATATTACTGGTACAATTACACAAAACAAAACATAAGTGTAGTTAATTTTTGAAATGAAAATTAGTAAGCACGCATGGCATATATACCAACATTGAGAACCCGAACCTACGAGTGCAAAATCCAAACGCCGCTAGCTCTACATGAGCACCATCACCCAACGGAATTAATGATCACTAGCTCGGTAACAACGAGCGCGCATCCAAAGCTTCCGAGGAACCGGCACCGGCCGGAACGATCTCGTGTCACCACCAGCGCACCACACGCACCAGCAGTCCGATTAGTGTGTGACAACGGCCTGACCGCCTGACCGGCCGGGGATGTGGAACCAAGACCTTCAAGAAGCTGCGCATATCCAGAACAAGTGGACCACATTGATCCACAGGTGGGATCAAATCAAACCAGCGAAAGATCGATCATCGTACGTGTGGTGGACAAAATCGTGTGACACGGAAGTGATTACATCACTCGTGCTTATCTATGGGCGGCCTGCTGGTCTTTGGCTTGTCCTGTTTAAGAAGCGAACTACCTCTGTCTCGAAATAAATTAATCTTTAGAGTGTCAAACTATTCTAAGTTTAACTATTTTTATATAAAAAGATAATCACTAAATAAATATATTATAAAAATATATTTTATTATATATCTAGTGATACTAATTTGTTGTCATAAATATCATGCTCTTCTCTATAAAGATGATCAAAGTTAAAATAGTTTGTCTTTGAGTGCATTCAAAGCTTCCGAGGAAGCTGAACAATCTAACTCGTGTCACCTCTAGCACGGTACCATCAGTCTACCCTCTACCTACCCCTCTCTCTCTCAGCTCCAGCAGCTGTGTGCAGCAGCCTCGCCAGCATATATATCCAGATTCCAGAACAAGTGGACCACGGTGCGATCAAATCAAATTAAACCAGTAACAAAAGATCGTATGGCGGACAAAATCGTGTGACGGAAGTGATTACATCACTCGAGTAATAACATACCACGTGTGGATCCTATAACATTAACCTAGGCCTTGTTTAGATTGAAAAAAAGTGAACCCGATGAATAATATAATTTTCGTCTTATTTAGTAAATATTGTTCAATCGTGAACCAACTAGGCTCAAAAGATTTATCTTGTGATTTCCAACTAAACTGTGTAATTAGTTATTTTTTTTACCTACATTTAATACTCCATGCATACGTCCAAAAATTGATGTGATGGAAAGAGAGTGAAAAAACTTGAAATTTTGAGGGTATCTGAACAAGGCCCTATAATTGTTGGTACGTGTCGTGTTGATGCATGCACACGTTTTGTCCTTTGCTGCCGCCCCATTATTAAGCCCATTAAGGTCTTGTAATCCTCTTTGGATGCTGGTGTTTTATGTTCCGGTTTCTAACACACCTATATTTTGCAAACAAATGTACAAGAGTTTCATCTCCATATAACTCTCTCTACTCTAATGAAACTTTTATATTTTTTCATCATTACAGTGCCACGTCGACATATTTAATGTCCATAAAACTCTTATCAAACCCCCATTGAGATTGACCTAATATCAAGCTAATAATACAGCCTATTGCTGACTATATGAATCATTACCGCCTACTTCTCAGCTCACCTATTATGGCAGAATCGTCTAATCTAATGCCCTCCTAAAAGTACTTGTCTTCCATTAGACACTAAGTATCCAAGAGAGTGCACTAAATCGTGTCGTTCC